ATATTGCTTTTATCCTCCCCGGAAGGGGAAGAAGAAGACGGGGGAATTTCAGAGAACAAGGTTTATTTATGCTGACGTTTCAAAAGTATTCTCGCTTCCATCGTCAGAGCGTAGTGTCGAGTAAGTCTGTCTAACCGCTAGCTGGGCCTGATGTACGCACGTCGATCAATTGTACCGATCGATTGCTGGTGGCTGTTTGAATTGTTTGCGCCGTCGCGGGCGCCTCCATGAAGTGTGTCAAGTCGTTTGTGTGCCTCCTGAGTGTTTCCACCTTCTTCGCTGGCAGCTGCCGGCCGTCGGCCCTGTGTAGGCCCAGTTCTAGGAGCTCTATGATAGGCACTCGCTTGAGCTTTTGGTCGGTTTCGTCGTATTTCTCGTGGAGAAGACCATCAATACTTTCGGTAGCCAGAGTAGGTGGAATAGATGTGAACAAGGGGATCACGTGAAACGACACCAGCACCTCGTCTGCCTCCACTTCCAGGTTTTGAATGCGGGTCAAAAATTTTTAGCAGACTTTACTGTCCACTGTGAATCCTTGGTAGAGAAGCACAGTCGTTGAAACAACTACTTTGACAACGCAGAAGTTGGGATGCCTCATAAGGATACAATGGGACGTAAGGACACTCGTGGTTGGTACACCTTTGGTAGGCCGTAGAAATGTGCCATTGCAGCGTCGGTGGCCTTTGCAGCCAGCGCTTCTCTTCCCATCAGAGCCTAACAGGCGCTCCGAACAAGGCTAACATCTGCTCAGAACGAAGCAATTGGTTGGGCGAAGGAAGATACACAAAGCCGACGGCCGGCAGCCGCGAGCTAAGAAGGTGGAAACGCCCAGGAGGCACACAAATGACTTGACATATCTCATAGAGGCGCCCACGAGGACGCTAACAATTCAAACAGCCATCAGCAATCCATCAGTATAATCGATCGACGTGCATACATCAGGCCCAGCTAGCGGTTAGACAGACTTACTTGACACTATGCTCTGACGATGGAAGCAAGAATACTTTTTAAACGTTATCACAAATACACCACGGTCTCAGAAATTGCCTGTCTTCTTCTTCCTTTTCCGAGGATGATAAAAGCAATATTATAACTTGATCTAGAACATTTTCGCATATGAAAATATACTCTCCCTATTTTCTAGGACGCAATTAAGTGTGCAGAATCGGACTGGCTGACAGGACTATCGACGAGATTGCCTGGTTAGAAGGTTGATTGCTACTGCCTGCTGGGTTGCATCTATTCTACATCACCCCAGTACATTTTCGTCCATCTAACCGCCTTCCTGCTCGCTGATTTGGAAGCTTTAAAGTTGCCATCCGTCCTACTTTGATAAGTGGTGACCCCGACGTGGCATGAACATGCAAACATGTTATTCCAGGCTTGTGATTTCAAAAAGGCTTGTTGCTACTACTTTCTAACTTGCGCGTATCGCCTCAGCAAAACTATGCCTACGTAACTGACATCTTGTATCCTTATTTGACAGCCTTCAAGTTGTCGACAGTCTTAACTCGATACCTATACCCGTTATCTCAGCCAGCGTATGAAGTTGTCTTTGGTTGAAAACTCCTATCGGGCATTGGCGCGACCGAAACAATCGCTGCCTTGGTATCCTGTGCTTAGCTTGACTTATTTTCGGCTCTGCGGTTGGTTTTCATCGTCAGAAGCAGACACCTATAAGCCGGTTCTCTTTCGCTCTCCCAGAAGCCGATAGGGTAAGATTGGCAAGAGACAGATGATTACACTACCAATCCAGATAGAAGAGAATGGACGAACAGCCGTTTAACTTAGCTGTGCTCTCTTCAGTCTGTCATAATCCTGTCCAAAAAACACCAAACGTCCCCACGTATATGAATGCTCACACTCTGCAGATGGTCCATCAGTTATCTCGATCTAATTGATCCTTGAAAGGCACTCAGTTGGAATGTTTCGCTGCCTTGGCAGACACAATTTTCTCCTCATAGACGCGCGCTGATTCGTTTAGTTTACCTGAGACAAACATCTACCACTGGGGTACCAACAAATGACCACCGAGCAGGCTGTAGCTCGGTAAACCGCCCATATATGTGGTTTTCGCCCTGCCTTTTTAGTCAAAAATGGCTGGGGAAAAGCATAAATTAACGGAACTATAAGATTCCTTCATCGTTTGCAGTCTTCCACCACAATTATTGAGCTTGCTTGATATTTCATAGAAGTCCAAATACTTACGTTTGGTGGTTGATTAAGGTAAAGGTAAGTGAAGTTAACTAACCCTCTGATCTTGGTGGAGTTCCGAGTCGCCAATCAGGTTCAAGCATGCTCATGCGACCGTGGCCTACTTCCGAAAGGGGAAGAAAGTAAATTATGTAAATTAGGACAGTACTACCAAAAGGAAATGATAACAGAATTATGAACGAGTACTTAAACAGTGTTTGGTTTGAGCGCTTGTTAAGGCTATTTCTTTTCCTAGTTTTGTTTTCCTTCATCTTCATCCTAATTGGCATAACTAAACGTTCTACTGAAATGATATGAGTAATCTCAGGCTCATGAATTGCATTTTTTTGTCTGCACTGGGTTTCTTAGAGGGTGATTTGCCGGTCTTACCTTCCACTCATTTTAATGACTTATAGGTATTCTTGAATTCCACATTTGTTATGGATTTTACATCCGGTTCACCTGCCTGTCTCTGTTGACAAGATACAATGTAAGAATTTATGTAACTTAAACAATCGATACCTGTGCTAGACAGCATTTGCAGCGTAAACAACAGAGAGGTCACTGTGTTTAGAGGGTACGATTCGGCTCTGAATTCAAAGTTCATAAGCGAAATAATTTAACCGTAATGTTAACTAAAACCTACAAAGTATTTGTCATGTACTAGAAGTTAAATCAGATCATTTTGGATTTTTTAAACCAGAAATCGGTACTGAAAGTTCTCCTTACTGTTGAGTAGTTGTTTGGGCTCAGGGCTACTCTTTTCATGCTATCTATCATCATTGAGATAGTAGTCTAACAGGTATCGTAGTCAAACTGACAAACGGAAGGCGGAGACTTTTAATCTGTAGACAAACTACCTCACCCGGCGGACAGTTCTGCAGTCTGGCATGAAGGAATCGACTGGCGACACGAGAAAAATGCGAGTCTCAGGAAATTATTACAATCACCGGGACAAGACATTTCTGACGTTTGAGATTCCGGCTGGACCCCAATTCGC